CAACGAAATGCTAATTAAGAATTAAAGAATTGACAAACATACACACACACACAAACACACACACACAAACAAACATATACACGCATTCACACACTGTGGCGAATCTAGGGGGCCGGAAAAACCAGTTCCCCCCGTTGTGAGAAGTTTTTTAAGGAACGTCAGAGAAGGGCAGTTTATGTATAAAATCAACCCAGAAAAGGTCATCAACCACAAATCATGGCCGTCCCGTTTAAATTTTGGCTTTCTCCCGTCAAAATGTAAACCTTCTCCTTTCTCAAAATTTTGACTTTCCGGTCAAAATTGTCTAGATCTGCTACGGCACACCACACACACACACACACCACACATACATACACACACACACAAATACACAAATACACACACACATACACATCTCAACGTATCATTTAACAAAGGTCAAAAAAGTCAAATTATATTTAAATAGCAAATTAAATAAAATTAAAAATACACTTCATTACTGAAGAAACCTTTAATTAAGTTCTCTTCTTATATTCCTTTATTTCGTCTTTCTAGCTATATTTACCGTATTTTTCTTATTCTTTTATTTACTCGAGTTCTATTTGTTCATACTTTCATCAACCACCCGTCTTAATTTACGATTTAATCACTAACATGATTAACAACGAAAATTGATGTTGTTACAATTAAACAGTGAAAATATTTACTTTGGATGTTTTAGGAAATAGCGATCGCCTTGAAACCACTTTGAAAGATGTCAACCGAGAAGTTCAATTGAAAATCGAGTAAATATTTACGCGGTCATCATCATCATCATCATCATCATCATCATCATCATCGTTATCATCATTATTATTTTTTAATAATAATGATGATAACAATAATAACAACAATAATTTATAGAAGGCGCAGTCAATATAACAACATTTGACATATTTCAAACCAATTTGGGCCATAAAATTTACTTACATTTGACACACACACACACAACACATACTGACACACAACAGACACACACACACACATACAAACACTGACACACAACAGACACACACAAATGCACGCAACAACACATGCACGCACATACATTGTATAACGTGTTGCTACTAGTTCACCATTCAAGAATGGTGATACTCATTCATTATTTATTATTAAACTTGAAGTAAGCGAATGAATAAATCAATATAACATTTACATCTTACATACATATAAACACACACACACACGCACACGCACACACACACGCATTCACACAAAATGCACAAAATGCACAAAATGAGAGATAATAAAAAACGAAGTAAGAGAGAGAGAGAGAGAGAGAGAGAGAGAGAGAGAGAGAGAGAGAGATAGTCTTTCACTCATACATCAAGTAACTTACGTTTTAATTGATTAGAATTTTTATTATTTAAATTAAATATTAAATACTTAATTAAAAGCCGCAAGCAATATCATTATAATTAATGCTTCATGTACACAGACGCCAGAGCAATTGTATACAAAATAATAGGAAAGAAGGAGTAATCTAAAAAGGAAGAAAAGAGATAAAAGATAAAAAGAGATAGATAGAGAGAGAGAGAGAGAGAGAGAGAGAGAGAGGAAGAAAGAGGAAGCAGAGGGAGAGAGAGAGAGAAAGAGAGGGGAAAAGAGAGGAAGCTAAACATTACATAATGCAAGCGAAGATGCAAAGATAAACGCACGTACATTTGCGTAAATAGGCTTGCTTCTGTCTGAGCTGAGACGTAGGGAAAGCGTCTGTGAGACATTCTATTATATTACACGCGCATAACAGCGTTCATTTCTTTCAGTCCGTGCTATATCACTTTAAAAAATTCCTCTCCTTACACTAATATACGCACAAACACGTAAATATAGTTGCACACATATACACATACAAACACAAAAAAACACACACATACGTGTATATATATATATATATAATATGTATGTATGTGGTATATATATATACATATGTAAATATATATATATGCACAAACACACACACCTACTTTTTCATCAATGGAAAAGTACTCTAAAAACTCGGCATATATTATTATAAAAGGTAATGTTGGAGCTTCGATATGAAGGATTTTGTGAAAATTTTTTTTGATTGGAGAGAGCTAAAAAAGGTATGTGCGTTTGATTGTATTGTTGTTTGTTTGTTTGTTAGTTAGTTTGTTTGTTTGGTCAATTTTGTTTGTTTCTTTTTTGTTTGTATGCGTGTCACCTTCCGATGCACATTCAAAGATGTTCTTATATTGGTAATTTATTTTTTTACATTTAAATTTTACTTTTGTGAACATTTTATACAGTGGTTGTTTAAATTGCTACCCGATACATGTAAACTGGTTGACAATTTGAACATAATTTTTCATGAGAACCCACAAATTCATCGTCGACTAACATTTGACAAACTGTTGTACGTGCAGGTTGAAATTAGGAATTTAAGAGGTACAACTTGTCCAAGTTCATCAAGTCACCCGCACCATCATAACCATCAATACTCCGAAAATTTTCTAATTTAATTTAGAAAAAATTTGCCAACAATCAGACATTCAAAGTAGAAATGGGCGATTTAAAAAGCATGACCTATCCGCAGATGTTGAGCAAATTTCGCGAAAGGAGAAACGAATCGAAAATCTTGCTGCCCCTCATGTCCCATCTGCCTCAAAACTGTCCCACCCTACATACGGCCCGCAGTTGTCTGAGCTAGATTCGATGTGATCCTGTTAAGTCACATGCTGTACGACTTCAATCTCGAAGAATGCCAACTGATTCTTAAAAAATGTTTGAAACAGTGGCTGACTCCAAAAACTGGAGTGTTGGTGATTGTGCACATGTCCGACTCCCTCGATGAAAACGGCAGAACCATAAACGTGATGCAGAACCTCCACAGATACTTCAGCGACAAGATGGAATTGTTGATGGAAGCCAAAGACGTCAAAAGTTACCTGGAGAAAAGCGGCGGTGAGGTCATCTTCGACGAAAAATACATGTGTCAGATGGACTTCAGAGAGTTTTGAATGGATGTTGTTCAACTTTTCAATCTTTACACGAACAAAAACCAAACGATAGACGTTCAAGGCATTAAGAAAGCTCTCCACGCGGTTGTACCCGACGGAATTGGCTCCTACATCGCAGAGTTGATGATTGTCCGCAAGAAGTAGAAAGAACTGTTTCTGACTTTTGTCCATCATAATTTTCTCTTTTGAGTTTTTTTAATTTTTTTGAATCAACATAATTGTGAATAATAATCTTTTTAACTTAATTTATTTCAATGTTTCAAATAAAAATTCCTTTCAACTAAAAGTTTGACACTTGTTATAAAAAGACTTTATTAACAGCAACAACAACAACACACGTTTAGACGACATTTTCCCCGAGATCGGGGGTTGCCGTTTGGCTACCTATGATGAAACCGAAATACCCCTCGACGCCATTCACATCTGTCACTCGCCTCAGTATCACGCAACCCCGCTTTCACCCTGTCCTTCTCCACCTGCTCTCTCCATCTCAACCGCGGACGACCCCTTCCTACCACTCCTTCAACCTCGAACTCCAACGCTCGCCTAATCCCGACCCTTTCATCCCTTCTCAACACATGTCCATACCACCGCAATCTCGATCTCCTTATCAATGTCACAATGTCCTCATTCAGTCCCATCCTCGACATCAGCTCTGTACTACTCCTCCTATCCTTCACTTTAACCCCACACATCATCCTCACCATAGCTCTTTCAGCCCTCTGCAGTACACTTTCCTCCTCTCTCCTCAACATCCAAGTTTCACCACCATATACCATCGCTGCTCTCACACATGCTTTATATACCCTCCCTTTCACCTTCACTGACCATTTATTTCCACACAATACCCCACCCAGTTCCCTAAATTTCATCCATCTCACACGAACTCTAGCCGTAACTGCGATCAAACATCCTCCATCCGCATTCAGCTTATCCCCTAAGTAAACAAAGCTTTCCACTCTTTCAATACCACCACTCAACCCCGTCCTTGCGTCCGTCCTATTAATCACACCATGAACACATTTCTTACATTTGAACGTGCCTTCCACCTTTTTCAGTGCCCCCCTCAAACCACTACATCTCTTATGCACCCATTTCTGACATCCTATACACATCTGTACACTCTACATTCTATACACATCCTTTATTAACAGCACTGCACAATTATTTTTTGGTAAATATTTCTTATTTTAGAAATAAAAGAAAATTCTATTAATTAACAACGAGTACTTAAATTTTGATTTTAAAGAAACAAAACAAAACATGCTTCATTTGGAATTTTGTCAAAAATTACTTTCAATGTTACAACAACACCAGGTCTAACCAAAAATAACAAATTCCACTTGTGGTGAAAATGTTACTCGCTATATAAATTGTTAAATCATAGTTTGTCTAACTTTTGAAAATAATTTCAAACAATACAATTAAGTCATGGTATAATGGTGTTTGTATCTTAATAATCTGTATCTCACTGTTTGTATCTGTATATTAGAATTTGTATCTTAAAATCTTGGTGTTTGTATCTTAGTTTTTGTGTGAATGTATCTGTCTGTACAAGAGAACTTAAATAACAATTATTTAAATATTATTATGTAGATGATAATTTAGGTTGGGAGATATAAGTAAATATGGGTTGTATATAGATTTGTGTTAAAGCAAGCAAGCAATTATAATGATAGTTAAGTTAGGATAGTGGTTCACGACGAGACAGCAAATGTATAGACGTAAAGCAGCTTAATATAAGATAATATAATCTATAATTAATCAGAGCATATAAAACTTTGTATAATAAGAATGAGGTGACACACGATAGGAACTGACTGGTTAGAAAGAGTGAGACAACGAGTTAAGCTCTATGGAGCAAAGTCTTCTGGTATATAAAAGGCGAGCACACGAGTTCAGAAGACTGAGGGAATGTGTGTCATCTCAATGAAGAATTATTCCTTAAGACGTTTTTATTATTTTTAACTTGGTTAAATTATATTGAATAAAATTAAAATTGAATAAAGAGAATTATTATTGTTAACAATAATGGATGAGTCGTTTCTAGTTCGAGTTTGATTATTAAGTTTTATAACATTTTAAACACTAACTAATACTCAACACACGTAAGTCCCTAATTAAAGTCATCTCTCATTATTTTATATACATGAACAATATCGAGTTATTTAACGTTGAGCGAGCGAGTTTACAGAAACAGAAAGAATTTCTCCAAGAACAATGTATGTTGTTCGTTCAGTAACCGTCGTAGAACAGGTAAGAGCAAGCAGTATAACAATATGGAGTTGTTGGAAAAAGATTCTGATTGAAACTTTTTGAATCAGTTGCGTACCATTTCATGTAAAAAAGTAAAATATCAGAAAAAACTTTATGATGCATGCACAAATACACACAGATACATACACACATACACACACTCACACACACACACATTAACATACATACATACATACATACATACATACATACATACATACATACATACATACATACATACATACATACATACATACATACATACATACATACATACATACACACCACGCAATGTTTACAAACAATAAATTCACGTCTGTTGAGCAAACAGCCTATGAATGTGATTAAATTTCTTTTGGTATGCATCACACATATATACAAACGTACAAACAAACGTACACACATATAAACAAACAAATATACTCATATATACAAACAGTAACATACTCACACTGACCTAACATTCATTCATTCATTCTTTCATTCATCTATTCATTCATCACTCACTCACTCTTTTGCCATTTAGTTACACTTTAGAACAAAAATAACAACAACAGCAACAACAACATCAACAACAACAATAAATATAAATATAATGACATTAAAACATGTTGAAACCATTGACGTCACGTCATTTAAGACGCCTACAATGATATGAACCATAATGATTTATGCATCCGAGAGCCTAAGATAAAGACATATTTCGTTACTTTGGCATTATATAGATCTATGAAACGGGAATTTCAAATAATTTTTTAAAATATTTCTGCTTAATTTAATTATTTTTTCATTTTGTTTGTGTGTGCGTATAATAAATAACACTAATAACTCGGTCAAAAAGTTAGACAAACATTTAACATTAACATAAACATTATTTTTACCAAGAAAGAGGTAGAAAGAAAGACAAAAAAGAGATGAAGGGAGAAAGACGGAGAACGAGACAGGCAACTTAAGGAGAGGACAGAAACACAGAGAGACAGAGACAGAAAGAAAGAGAGAGAGAAAAGGAGAGAGAGAAAGAAAGGGATAAACAACACATAACCAGAATAATATAGATATCAATAAGCAAATAACAATACGTACAACATAACCAGGCCATGGTTTATTTTTTTAATGAGAATTTTGGAATTTTTTGCAGGGAAAGATTTATCCGTGCGGCTTTATGACCATAAATACAAATTATATGTATGCTAATTAACTTCTGGATACTTCTCTTTTTTCTTTTTCCTCAACTTATTTATATTATAATTATTATTATTACTGTTATTATTACTATATATTGTTTTTTATTATTTGAAAAAAGATTTCTTCTTATTAATTCTTAGAAGTATCAACAACAGAAACACAGTGCGTGTGAACGTGTATGTGTGTGCGCGCGTATGTATATGTGTGAGTTTGTTAAAGGTTAAGGTTGTGTGCATGTGTGAGTGTGTGTGTGTGTGTGTGTTTATGTGCATATGCGTTCCAAACTCTTCTGTTGACAAGGAATAAGAATCAGGAAGAAAAGTATTAAAAAATGAATATTGATATTTATAGAATCATCGGGTAATGTGTGTATGGAAAAGCTTTGCAAATATTGTGTGTGTGTTTGTGTATGTGTGTGCATGTATGTATGCATGTATGTGTGTGTGTATATATGTATGTATGCACGTGTGTGTGTGTACGTGTGTCTGGAACAATGTTTATTGATATTTTACACTAAATAACTTTTTTGGCTGTTTTGAGAAAACTGTTGAGAAATATTTCCTTAAGAAATTCGCGAACCGCGAGCTTGTTTTTGCTCTTTGTTATTCTTTGTATTTGTTCTTTGTTCGTTGTTTTTTATTTTTCGTTTTCTGCTCTACATAGTTTTTGTGATATGATTTATTTGAGAATTTGTTTAGTTTGTCTATTTATTATTACTATCCTTATTATTATTGTTGTTATTGTTGTTGTTATTATTATTACTATTATTGTTATTGCCGTCTTTTGTTAAACATATCATTCATTACATTTTTAAAAACAAAAAATATTGACATGGTCGGCATTGATGACATTTAAATCTCAATACATGATAAATACAATACATGATAAATTTAAATTTATCATGTATTGTATCATCGTCATCACAGCATCATCGTCATCCTCATCATCATCAGTAGCAGCATCATCATCAGCAGCAGCATCATCATCATCACAGCATCATCATCATCATTATCACCACAGCATCATTATCATCATCATTTTAAGAAGCCCTGGATACTTGATGCTAAGCGTTCTTAATTCGAAATAATAAACATCACGTTATGATGTGTTTGAAAAATCGGCTTCTTCTCTATTGCAATGCTAATTCAATACATGTCGTTAGGTTTTAATACGTATATATTCATCCATTCATTCAATTATTTGTTCATTCATCCATTCAGTCATTCATTGTTTCATTCATTCGTTCATTGTTTCGTTCGTTCGTTCGCTCGTCCGTTCGTTCGTTCGTTCGTTCATCCGTTCGTTCCTGATTATTGAATGAATGAATAAGTGGATGAATAGATGATTGAATAAATGAATGAATAAATAAATGATTGAAAAAATTCGTAAAACTCAACAAATTATTATAAGTACTGAGTGACTGAAAGCCCAATATAAAACTCCATCATTAAATTCTTCAGATAAGAAAAGAAACGGCAAAGGTAAAAACAGATTTCATGAAAAAATGCTTATAAGAAACCAGTAGAAATGTATTAAACATTTTAAACAATATTATTATTATTATTAAATTATGTTAATATGTTATTATTACAGTTATATTATTATTAGATTATAATAATACCACCCTATCATTTTGTTTGAATGTCTTAGTGAAATAGTTAATTATGCTATTTTATTTATAAGTTATTGTTTCGTATAAATTAAATGATTTTATATATTAAAACATCTAAACCAAATAAATAGAGAAGCCTAACTTCTTAATATCGAAATCACTTAGCCTAAATCGTAATGGCTAACGAGATGAAGCAAGCGAGGTTTAATTTAAAGCGAGTTAGTTGAGTCAGTAACATAAAGTCTGATGACAACAATTAACTGAAATTGATAATTTATAAATTGCAATTCATTCACTTATTCTTTTATTTGTTAGTTCGTTCGTTCATTCTTTCATTCACTCGTTCGTTCATTTATTCTTTAACTTGTTTGGGCAGCTAGTTGTCCTAGTGGTTTAGATAAAAATTGTTTGATAAAAAATGATTAAAATATAAACACGTTGAAAGGTTAGAATGCGTCGGGAAAAAAGGATTAATTAATTATGTGAAAGCGAAGATAGAAAAGGGGAAAGCATTTAGCGCCAATCTGTTGTTACATCTTCTTCTTCTTCATTAATGAGTGATGAAAAATCAGATTTTAAAAACATGAAACAACTTCCTAAGCAAAATGTCGAAACATGATTTTTTTTTTGGAAACCTTTGCGTCATTGCTATTTTTACATTTAAAAAAAGTTTAAACTAATATCCAAGCTGTTATTTGAAGACCCACCCCTGTATAAAATGTGTACCATCTCTAGCTTTCAACTGATGTTTATGATACGAATTGCACTTTCAATCTAAAATTCCTGACGCTAAAATAAGTTGATTTTGATTGAATATGCATTTAAATTCCACAAAACACTAAATCATTTCTAATATCAAGAATTTCACGAATGTAAATGACGAATCTAAGAGCCTGCCTTGCTACGTAAGAATTATCCACAGATAGAGACACTGTGTTTGGTTTTCCTTCAGAATAACTACATTTGAAATTTCTTTTTTTTAGAGAATCACTTTCAAAATTAAAATGATAAGTTATCGAGAATTAATAAAAAAAACACATTTCATTGTCCGGGACAACCGATATCAAATGTAATGCGTAGAAGCAACACACATAAACTTATCTAATTATTATTGTTGACCAAAACCTAATTGATAAACTTATTTATGTATAGTATGTTGGTTATTCAAAGAGCATTTTTTAAAAGCGCAATTCTTCCAATTCCTGGTAAAAATCTTTCACAAAACTTGTATTTGAGAAACGCAAAAGTAAAGTAACATTTCTTAAAATCTTATTTTCTCACTTCTTTGAATCTTTAAGAACTTCGTCTCCCAATACTAAATCAGTAGGTCGTCGGTCAGTTAAATCAGTAGTACCCACATTTCAAACTTATTTGCAAGATTGCAATAAAACTATCAATAAAACTAAAAATCCTAATATAAACTAACCTACACACATAGGCACCACACACACACACACAGGCACACACACACACACAATGTAATAATTATATATGCTAGATATTTAAAACATAGAAGGGATATAGATCAAAGAGCAATCATTTTTAGTGTACCTAACTATATCAATTCTAACAACGAACGCCATAAAGGATAATAAAAGACAAAATTATTTATTTGATAATTAACATAAGCTATAATGTGTGTGTGTGGGTGGGTGTACGTTTGTTTGCAGATTTGTTTTATTACTCCTTTATTATTAATATTCATCATAAAAATTATTGTTATTAATATTCTCGAGTAAAAACCAAATGAAAAATCATGATAAATCTATATATCCTTTCTATTAGAAGGGTACGAACAAAAGTAATTAATTTAATTAATTAATTAATACTACCAATGTTGTGGTTCGTGTTTTCTTATCTTTATAATATTATTATAGTATAATAACAATTATACATGACATAGAAATTATTGCGATATATTATGTTACTGATTACAATTAATATTTAATGGCTAGTCCGGATAAATATGACTATATTTATTTAATGTAGGTGTTAATACTAGAGACGCACCGAATACTCCCCGTTTAATTAGTTAATTAATTAATAGGTAATTAAACGAAAAACTAAAAAATTAATTAATTTAAGTTAATTTATTTTTAATCAACTACAGAGAAGAAACTTAAAGAAAAAATTATACTAATTAAATTTAAAATCAATTATATGTATGTATGTATCAAATCAGTGCGCGTACAACAGTGAGGTACAAAAGATACCGCCTACATTTAATCGTGAATCCAAAATTTATATCCGAAGGGAAATTAAAAAAAATTAAAGAAAAATAATAATTCACGGTCGTCATTATTATCATAATTCTCAAATAATTGATAAACAAACAAATAAATAAATAGATTTAATGTTTTCTAAGCTATCATTAATAATAGCAAATGAACAATGATATAGATCATGTCATAAATAAATTTGAAAACAGGCAAACGAACGAACGAACGAACGAACAAATAAAAAAACAAATAAAATCAAAGTGAGCGTTTTTAAAGGGTTAAATATACATAACAGACACACACAAAATTTACAATACGTGTTTGTGGGCTTTCTTGGATTTTTGAAAACCAATTTAATACGATACAAGTCTTTGGATGCCGACTTTCAATGAAAAAGTTGGTGGTTTCTTTTTAAGGATGCATTCTGCATTCATTCAATCAATCATTCACATACCCATTCATTCACTCATTCATTCACACTTTAATTGATAAGTGAATTCTTTTTCCATTCATTCATTCATTCGTTTCTTATTTCCTATGTAACTTTTTATTATTTCAATATTGAATTTTTAAATTTTTATCTAACAATCAAATTGACAAAAAAAACTTTAAATTATTATTAATAATGACGATAAATATAATAATACCATGGACATGACGGAGGAGACATAGACACGCAGACAGACACACACAAACACACAAACAAGAGTCGTAATTGTAACATAAAAAACAATATGAACATTAATCTGGTGATTTGCATAAAGCATATTATAAAATTTAACATCCATTCAATTCGACATACAATCTTGCAGTATTAATATAAATACATCAAAAAACACATAAACACGCGCGCGCGCGCGCACACACACACACATACACACACACACACACAACAAAACCCAGCCAACCAAATGTCGAATAAACGCACTTTACATATTTTTATACCATGTATGAATCTATCCCAAACTACACCACATAGACCCCAGATAGATGTACGTACATTACACACACACACACGCACGCACACATAGAGAGAGAGACACACACATACATAGATTTACACACACATACATAGATTTACACACACATACATATACGCCTACATGCGTACATTACATACAAACATAACTATATATGTATACAAACTAGAAGCTATGCACAATATGTACTGTATCTAAGCCCATAAATACATACATTGTATATTATATGTATACGTGTGTGTGTGTGTGCGTTGCGCGTGTGCGCCGTGTGTGTAGAGCATGGTTGAGGCATGGATTATAAAGGGACCAATGAACAAAGAAAAATTTATAATAGTAAAATGTAATGAAAAAAAAATAAATGGAATAATTTAAAAAAAAAAGAGTAAAAACAAAAAAATAATAAAAAATAAATAAAACACAGAAATGGACGAATGGTAACTAAATTATTATTTTATAAATCAAAAAACAACAGGTGACGATAATGAGATAACGACGACGACGATGATGATAAAAGAAAGATGATGCTGGGATGATGATGATGATGCTGGGATGATGATGTTGCGAAGATGATGATGCTGATATGATAAACGACGTGACGACGATGTAGTGATGGTAACAATCGTGATAACGGTGATGATATTATGTGATAACAATCGAGATTGGTGTTAGCCAGAAAGATGACGACGACGACGATGATGATGTATAATGTTATGGTACGGTACGGTGACGATGATAACTATGACGGGGAAGATGATTAGCACAAGCATTTATTGTACATTAAATCACAAATGAGTGAGTGGTAATTTAATAATTAATTAGAGTTAATCAATCAATCAACCCATCAAGCAATCACTCATTCAATTAACTAAATAATTGATCAACTAAATAATTAATTGACGGATTAATTAATTAATCATAAATAAATATCCGGACATCTTTCCCAATCCTGTTTCTCTTTGCACTTCCAATATTCACCTGTTGTGAAAAAAATATATATTTCGATTATTTAATTCATTCATAAAATTTAACGACATATTAAAAACAATAAAATAAAATGACTAAAAAATACAGAAAAACAGAAAAACTTAAAGGGATGAAATAAAAAGACAAACCTATATACGTGTGGATGATGTTGCCAGTCTGCGGGTCAGTCTCCTTGCGGAACCATTTCGGCTCGTAACCAACGAAATCTTCCCCTTAAAACAAACATTTCAAATTTATAATCTATTCATATTAAATTTAAATATTTTGCTATTTATTCATTTGGTTATCTATTTATTGATCTACTCATTATAAAATTAAAGTGTTATCTCCAAAAAATTCTACCATCCCATCAGTCAGTCCTATGTTCACTTGAATTTATGATGAACAGAAACCAGACAGACCTGCCTATCTCGAAAGAATCTCGAATAAATTTGTAGACATTTGAAACAGAAAAGTATGTATAAATGGATTAAGAATGCTGAATAAAAGTCAACAGGAGTGTTCTTGAGATTGTGAAGTTCAGAATGGTGAGAGTAGTCTGAAGAAATTTTTTAACGGAACTCTTCAGACAGAGCTTGTTAGAGAAACCGCAACTATAACACACGGTCGGTTATATTACACGACATTGAGACTAAGAGTAAATTAATAAATTACAGCGATCACACACATACACACACACACACACACACACACACACACACACACACACACACATGAAAAAAAAGCCAACCTTGTTGGGCTGCATTTTCAGCAAGACTTTCCCTCACCTTCCTGGAAGCTCTCTGCTTCTCTTCAAGTTGCACCTGCCAATCAATCAATCAACCAATCAATCAACCATCAATAAATCAACCAATCAATCATCAATAAATCGATCAATCAATCAATCAATCAATCGATAATTAGTTAATCACAAATAAATATCTGGACATCTTTCACAATCCTGTTTTTTTCTACCCTCTTATTAAATCTTTAATAAAACTTTCAATGGTTTTACATTTAAATTTAACTCAATGAAATAATTATCTAACAATTTTTTTTACATTCAAACTACGCTATATCATAACAACTCTTGATAATTTAACAAAGAACAGCCAAGTACTTGAGTTTCAATTTTTTAAACTCATCATTTATTTAATCATTTATTAAAACCTCTCAAGACATTCCATCCCATCATTAAGACAAGTGAATTTAAAAGCAGAGCCATGGTGGCACAAATTCAACCACAGAGCACAAAAACATATGCCCCCAGACATATTACACCACACATTCATTTATCCACTCACTGATTCAATCTACTCTAGCCTTAAATCCATCCTAAATTTCATCCAATTGAGATTTCAATCTAAACCTATCCTTAATTTAATCCACTATAATCCTATTTCAATAATTTTCAGAAAATAAGTGATTCAAATCTAATCATTTCTTTAATTTAATCCATTATAATCCTAATCCGATACATTCCAATACTAATTCTAATACTTTCTATATTCCTAATTTTAACTTCCTAGTTTCGTAGCTTGCATGTTGTTACTTCCCCTCTGTTTTACAGTTTGATTAACAGAAGAAAAAAATTCACCAAATGACCTTGACAGTGTTGGCTTCATCCCACCTGGCCTCCTCCATCAACCGTTGGTCAGGCCTGTATCGACTGTCCGTCGGAGCGACGCCATCTTCCATCTCGTTCAACTCCACGGCCAGCTGAGTGAAGTTGTAGCATTTCTCCAGTTCGGGGCTGTTGAGGATTAAAAGTAAACGTTTTTTTACATGGAAACGTTAACAAATTTGATGGATACTAATTACGAATTTGAAATGTTATTTCAAAAAACTTGAGACGGTTTTAATAATTTAACAAATTTAACAGTTTCAATCTCAAACGATTTATTTTTCATTGTAAAAAGGTTACAAAAATTAAAATTTCGGGTAGTTTAACTAATATTTATGCTTGAAAATTATAAACTTTTTCAAATGAAATTTATGGACATGCCAGCGGAAAACTGTGTTCACAAATTTTTTACTTGTATGCCTACTAATATAACTGATAATTCAATGTAAATTTTATACTGATAGAAGGTTTCTCACAATTGCACTAATCTTATTTGGTCACACAGGCGTGAGAGATTTGTGAATCGATATTCTATTGATATGCAACTAATTAGTATAAAACACATGCCAGTCTTAGAGGAGATATCAAATCCGTCCGCTCATCTATCTATTCATTTCAAATATTTTTTCACAAAAAATTTCAATTCGTTATTCTGAAGCGGAACCTCTAAAATTTCCAATTTCCATTACATTGCAGACATGGCAACTCTACCTATGGAAAATAAATAAAAAATTCTCATACATAGTCGTGAACAAATAAAAAACAGTACTTCATTTCACTTTTTATGCCGTCTCAAACCTATCAACACCTCACAATCTATCAACCCCTCTCAGTCTATCAACATCTCACATCCCCAACAGACTTGTAAGAAATTGCAATGGACTGAAAAATATACACTTTAATTGTAATTTTTTAGGCAAAAAACTTAATATCAAGAGACTCTGAAGGAGGAAAAATATACCTCAGAGAGGTCAAAATAGACTTTAAGTCTTTAAAGTCCTCCATTAAAAAATAATTTAAAAAAAACCACTGACGGGATAAATCTTCTGGTCCACAGTACAACAGACTGTTCAGTTTTATATTCGACCTTGCCCTTCGAGGGCTCCTCAACTCCGATGATGCGAGCCCCTTCGATCTTGTCGTCCCAGGTGCCAGAGAGAAGGTACTTGGCTGTCCCGTTGCTATCTGTTATAATGCCTGATACCTGCGTAGGTGTGTGTCTTTGTGCGTGTGTGTCTTTGTGCGTGTGTGTGTCTTTGTGTGTGTGTGTGTCTTTCTTTGTGTGTGTATGTGTGGCGGTAATTATAACACAATAGTCGTTATAATAAAAATAATTAATCCTATCAAATAATATTTACTCTTCTCGGAACTTCTCTTGAGAAATAACTGTACGCAAAATATTTCAAGTGGCAGAGGTCGCCAGTCTTGTGGTTGACAATGTCCATCTCTCCGTGGTTGTCCACCCACAACTTGCCGACGATAATGTTGTGCACTGTTGTCGTTACCTTGCGCCACGTGTAGTGGTTGCCGGATTTAGGAAATAATAAGTGGGCAATTCCTGGTCGGGAGGGAAGTTCTTCATTGTTTTGCCACATAAATAATTCCAATAAGTATAAAGATTAAAAAATCAAATTTCAATGAAAAAAATCCATCAATCAAACCAACTACTTCAGACAAGTTATCAATTAGTTTGAGCAACAACTAATCAAAAATAATCTGAAAAAATTTAGCACTTCCCAACTACCTGAACACACCCTGAACTAACCAAGTGGTATGATCTGTAGGTACTTCCCTCTGAATTTACTGGACATGGTGAACTCTTGCCAATGCGTCCACTGTCTGCCCTCTGTGTACATGGCCACCATTGGCGGGTGGTGACTCACCTGCGATGAATTAATTTATCAATAATGCGTAAAAAGTTCTGAAGTAACCGAATTAAGTACAACTGGATGAGTTTTCATTCAAATCATCATTGATAACAACTATATTTTTATAAATACCTTGGTGTTACTAAGACACTACGACGACGAAAAAAATTTTGAAAAACTAAAAATAGCCCACCTGCTCTGCAAACGACCTCCACCCCAAATCATCCATTCGGTCGCATTCAAATGTCTCCCCAAGTAGGGGGTTGAACGGTTTGCCTGTCCTCAATGTCGTGTTTGCATAAGATGATATGGTAAACGCGGCGATGTAGGCCATCTGCTCGTAGTCGTCCGAACTGTTGGCTGCCTTGTCCAGGCAGTCCGAGTATTCAAAATCTTCCGTCAATCGTTGCAGGAAAGATAGGGGTTCGCTGAAGTTTACCTGTGTGTGCGTGTGTGTGTGTGTGTCTGTGAGTGCGTGTGTGTATGTGTGTGTGCGTGTGTGTGTGCAGTTATACAAGTGTGTATATATGTGTGAGTCTGTTTAACAACATAGGCGATCAATGATCAATAATATGAAGAGCACTGAGATGTATAAATATTTAAAAGCTGTTATAAATTAGCCATCAATAAACATTTATATTTGAATGATCTTATTAGTATATCTAAAGATCCTTTAATGACCTTACAGATGCGTACAATAATATAAAAATATAGAAATGTAAAATATAATATTAGCTTGCATATTCCATTGTTAGAGTCAGTAATTTAATTTTCATGCAATATACGCTCACATATGAATATATTTAATGACATAACATAATTATACAAATATAATAATTTAGAAACACATGTATTTTCAAAGTTGAAATATGTCACTATCTGAATTGTATTATTTTATTTATGGGTGGTACACATCGTTAAGTGCTAGTTGAGTTGGCTGGGCTGGGATGGCTAGATCCTCAAACATATTTGCTCAATTGATCAGCTAGATAATAATCCAAATAAATAATACAATTTTAGTTTTTTTTAAAATAAACAATATTAAGTGAAAACTGTAGGAGATAATGATGGTAATGATTATATTTATCAGTGCGTGCGTGTGTATGTGTGATGTGTGCGTGTATGAATAAATTGTTTAAACACATTACTTATAAGCAACGCATTATTTTGCACACACAGGTCAACCTATCAACAGATGAATACAAATACACCCACAAAAAACACACACACACATACATACACAAACAATTCCATAAGCACACAGAGAGACATACACCTACAGAGGCAACACCGACACACACACACACACGCACACACACACACACACACACACACATACACAAAAACCGAAATACACGTACAGGCATAGGTATCTTGCTCAGTTCCTTTCCTATACAGTTCTTCATGATACTCCAAAGATTGAGGCTGTAGTTGGGCCGTTCGGGGATCGTCCTCCTCCTCTGCCTGCCCACTTTAAGTGGCACCAGAACCTCCTTAATGGCATTTGACTGACTTGTACTCATTAACATGCCCTTTTGTATTTTTCAAGTATGTGAATGAAGGTGAAGTGAAGGTGAAAAAATGTACGTATGCGTGTGTGTGTATGTATGTGTGTGTGTGTGTGCGTGTGTCTGTATGTGTGTATGTATGTGTGTGTGTGTATATTTGTGTGTGTTATACCTGGTTAGAACTGTCGCCAGTACTGTGATAGCTAGGAGGTCTAACAGAGCTTGTTAAATGTATGTCACTCAATCTGCAAGAGGATTTAAAGTGTAATCTTTCTTTTAAATAATTTTAAATTATTATAAATAATGGCAATAATAATAACAATAATAAAAATGACAGTGCCTAAATTAAAAATAATAATTTGCTTTATTATAATTATAACTTATATTATTATATTATAATAACTTAAGTGTTGTTAGGCTTTTGATTCAAAGTTTGATTTGATAATCAAGTAGTAAAAGACTTGGAAAATATTCATGTCAAAGTTGATGATG